AGGAACGGTATGGTATATCTTAGGGGAATGTAACAGAGAACTCAGGAACGGTATATATATCTTAGGGGAATGTAACAAAGAACTCAGGAACGGTATGTATATCTTAGGGGAATGTAACAGAGAACTCAGGAACGGTATGTATATCTTAGGGGAATGTAACAGAAAACTCAGGAACGGTATGTATATCTTAGGGGAATGTAACAGAAAACTCAGGAACGGTATGTATATCTTAGGGGAATGTAACAGAGAACTCAGTAGGACAGAATTCATATATTCAGCTGAACTTAAACAGAAAATGCTGAGCTGACTTAAAGTAATTGCTACACATTATAAAATTCAAGGTTCTGAAGAGTATTACAGAGATCTGAATGAGTAGTCTCTACTGTTTAGCGAGTTATTCATTAGAGTAGACAAGCAAGAGCATATCACTCATTATATACAGATGACTTCTGAACACAGTTATGTGATTTGTAGCTTTAAATATAGGCATGTCAAACAGCATAGTTTTAAAACAACTGAAAGTTCACCAGAACTACACTTTTTCTAACATAATGTGGATTGTGAAAACATATAAACTTTACCAATGGCTTCTTCAAATGCTAACAACACTGTTTTTCCTTCGTTCATTAATTCCCATGCCTTGTTTCCCATCCACTTAAATCCAGTCAATGTCTCCTAATATATGAGTAACAAAACACATTCATTTTACTACAGTATGACTGAACATGTTATTAAGTAACATATAATAAATATTTCTGGAATTGTTAAAAACTCAGTAATGTCTTCCTCTTAAGTAGTAAACAGCTTATTAATAACTTAAGGCTAAACAAACTGTGTCTTCCTGTTAAGTAGTAAACAACTTATTAATGAAAAGGCACTTAACGTTAAAAGTTTGGTTCAAAATATTTTCATCTTTACTTTCAGCAGCAGCACAACTCTTAACAATTACTAACATCTTTGGTTGTTATATAAACAACAACAACACTAGAATATATATGATTTGTTACATCTTGTGACACTTTTCTAACAGTTTTAATTTTCAAACACATTTAATATTTTATGATTTCCCTACATAAATCTACAAAATATTAATCTCTGACATAATATCTTCCATATTACCATTCTGAACTTGTACAAGGACATATCAAGCAACAAGTTTGAAAGGTCTGGTACTAAGAATTTTACAAATGTTATCAAAGCAACACATAGCTGGTTGAAATTTCTGGCACTTACTAAAAAAAGGAACTAGAAAAAAAAACAATCACATTTTAAAACTGTCTCTTGACATTAAAACAAAACTCAAATTAACCTCCCATAAACTAGCTCACATCTGTCTCTTGACATTAAAACAAAACTCAAATTAACCTCTCATTAAACTAGCTCACAACTGTCTCTTGACATTAAAACAAAACTCAAATTAACCTCCCATGAAACTAGCTCACATCTGTCTCTTGACGTTAAAACAAAACTCAAATTAACCTCCCATAAAACTAGCTCACATCTGTCTCTTGACATTAAAACAAAACTCAAATTAACCTCCCATGAAACTAGCTCACATCTGTCTCTTGACATTAAAAAAAACTCAAATTAACCTCCCATTAAACTAGCTCACAACTGTCTCTTGACATTAAAAAAAAAACTCAAATTAACCTCCCTTTGAACTAGCTCACTGGGACTACAACGCATGTCTAGACCTTCGTTTATGGGGTAACAAAAAGAATTATATTAGTTCAGCTTTATTGTTGTTTTCTATTATAAAGTTGGCTTTAAAAATGTGATAAAAATATTTAACATACCACAAAATTGAAACCCTCCTGTTTTGCAATTGCTTTAAGAATCTTAGAAGACACAGTGCTTGAAATCATGTATACATCAGATGCTGTAAAAAAAAGTAGATTAAAAGTAAAGTTACAGTTCTGTACAAGTTAAATCTGAGTAAAGTTACAGTTCTGTACAAGTTAAATCTAAGTAACAGTAAAGTTTAAGCTGTTTAAGCTAATTACTCAGGTATAAAACATTATTTTTGTACCAGTATATACATGTACATGAATCTAAATGATCTTGCATTCTGGTAATACTTAATTAAACTTCTTTATAAATAATAAAAACGAAACACACAAATGCTCAAACTTCACTTACATGCATATGAAAAACATTAAAATGAAACTTTTTCTTATAAAATATTCCTGCACTTTGAATATTATTTCACATGATAAATCTATCTAACTCCTATGTTAACAACAATTTATAAATATATCTAACAACTCCTATGGTAACAACAATTTATAAATATATCTAACAACTCCTATGGTAACAACAATTTATTAATGTATCTAACTCCT